TAGAATGCTTAAGGAGGCCTTGTGGAACCTAGATGATGAGATTAACATTATGTCGAGCAGAATAACAAAAGACATTAATAATTTTATGGCCTAGTGTTTGCTTAACCGAACTAACTGAACAAGCCCATAGACTGTAGGGTTCTTGGAAGCAAAACCAACAGTCAATAGAGTGTCACAGAAAGAGTAATGGTGGGAAATGCACAGAACAAACATTATCTTTCTTACAAGTATGGTACACAAAATATGAACAAAGATGCCTCATGGGATTTTAGTGCTTTGTACCTTTTGATATTGTATCAATGTGTATGCACAAGTGATCGATGAAGCTAATGGATTTAGTATTCTTGAGGTACTACAACCCCAACCTGATTTTGAGATGGCTGTGAAGATCCTGATTAAATATCGGAACTGGAAAGGATAGGAGGAAAAGGAATCTCCAAGAGAGTGGGAAAGGAAGTTGGTAAGGATTTTAGTTTGCTTCCACTTTTAGATTCTTAGTTATTGGAACTTTCTATTCTCCTCTTCTATGAGGATCAGGCCTTTTGGCATGGTACTTGCGCCTAAATTTTGCAGTTAAGTGTTGAGTCTTTCAATTTGTTGTTTTCAAAATAGAACTCGTTTCATGGGAAGTGAAGAGAGTATGAATAGGAGAAACTGATAGAATATATTGCATTGATGAGGTGATTACATTCCTTTCCAAGCCTCGACAAGTCAAATGCAAATCCTCCTGTAGTCTACCCATGTCTTAGACATGAAGGATTCTTACTTCTTGGTATTAAGATTCACCAGCTAGAATTTCTAGTGGCACCTTAGCAATGATCCTACCCTTAGGAAACAGAACATGTAAAGTGGATCTACAACGAACCATATATAGGTGCAACTCAATGGATGCTATTTCAACTTGCAAATTCCATTTTCCTCCACAAGCGGCTTGGCGGATGGATTTGAATCCCTATGAGACAAATTCCGTATCTTAAACTTTCTCTTTGATCATTCAACTGTCCGCTGAGTGAAACAGTTTCACACTAAAGAAAACCGAAAAAAGTTCCACTCCAACCAAGGAAAGAGTTTAGTCACACCTTGGTCAAGTGCCAATCCTCCTGTCCTAGTTTGTTTGAAAGAGAAAAACGAGTGGAGTTTTGAGAGCAAGAACCCTTACATTTTCACTGATTTACCTTAGCAAGAAGACAGACAGAGGGCCCACTAAACACCCATGCACTCAGGAGACTAGCACATTTGCATATATAGACTGCAAATGAATATTTATAATCTGCTCAGCTCTGGTCCGAATGTGCATTTAGGCTTTGGAAAATCTATAATAAATTTATTCCACCACGATGTCCGTTTCATGTGTACTATGATTTCCTGATTTTCTACACGCTACATATATACATGCAAATGGGTTGTGCGATCTGAAAGCACATCAAAGTGGGAGCTCCAAAATAGAATTCTGTTAAGGCCACAATGGAGATATCCCTAACCTGCAAAGAAGTTTTAAAAAATGTGTATTTTGCTACCCCAAGTTTGTTTAGTTACACTAGATCAAGCAACACCCAATCACTCAAGCGTTCTTTACTGAATACTTTCCTCAATCTTACATGTATATTGTGTCTCTACCTTTTAAGGGAGACAATTACCCGGCTGGGGTTACTCTAAATATCTTTCTTTTGCCCTCGTGCCATTAGTATCCGAGTTAACTCGCTTTCCTAGAAGTGTCCCGGTTGGCCGAATCGTCTTATGACCATAGGTGACACACCAAAGTGGCAGTCATTAACTCATCACTTCATGGCATAGTCAAAAGTTCTGAAAGGGTACCAAAAAGTGATCATGTTTTTGATCTAGATAGACTTTCATAGTGTAGAAGCAGGGACCCATTCTTTCACGCCAATTAGATCGCTGAGCACAAACAGTATAAAATGCATGCTATGGTAGAGCTTCTTTTTTCTTAACAGAGAAGAAGTGTGTATGTCTATGCTCTCATATAAACATCAGTCTTAGTCTTGTAGCCAAAAACACCGTATGGGCCAAACCCAAAATCTTCATCTGCTCGTTATGTACAACGCCATATTAAAGTCTCGCACCCGGCTATATGTCTATAGGCACACATAGAAGGTGGGGAAGCATACATTTCGGCTCCCTAAGATTAAAAAAACACATCTTGGTCTTCACCAAAACGACTCAGTAATGTTGAACTAAACTCGGTCTCTTAGCGCCATAGTTCAAACAGTCTCATCTCTGCTTGCCTTACTATTGTCATAGGCGATTGCTCGTGTGGATGGGAATACATTAGCCTATCGGCATCTTCATTAAGTTATATTAGATGGCATTCACATGCCATGTTATTACGATCACAATTCTTGTAAAGCATTACATTTCCAACTCCTTAGAGGCTTGCTTGCTTGATTCTTCTAATTTTGAGTTGGTCGCTTGGGGGATATAGCTCAGTTGGTACAAAAAAAAAATTACAAACTTCTACGCAATTGATTTTAAATTAGATAATTTTCACTCATTGAGGATTACGGTAATCATGGTGCCGCCCAGGGGCGATAGGGGGGACCAATGCGCGGTCTATGTGCCTAAAGATTGAAGAAAGGGTTAAGGGCCTCCAACGCCTATAAATAGAAGTTTTTTTCAGTCTCTATTTGGCAAAGGAAAACGGGGCCGAACTTAGAAGTCGGCAAGAAAGACTTTGAGAAATGAGTAGGAACTTGAATTTCCCTGTCGATGAGCAATGAAACCACATCAGTGTGCGATCATCACTTTACGAGTTTTTGCTTTCTCTTCTTTTTTCTTTAAGGCCTCTCTTAAGGCTTTGAACGCTACTTTCTCTATCCTCGTTAGGTAGGATAGTACTTCCTTTAATAAGTGTAGAAAGTATGCTCTCTTTTCCTCCTTAGTAGCTAACTGAGAGTTCATCTTGCTCCTATATTTTCCTCTTGTTTCGTCTGCTAGTCCTACTTCTCTCTCTGTTGAGTATCTTTGAAATGATGTTGCCTTACTCTTCCTTCTCCCTCCTAACACCCCTGGTATAAGTTCTAGGAAAAGAGAATCCATCTCCTTCGGACCCTGATCCCTTCTCTAAGATAGGGAAGCTTCCTAGAGAGTGAAGCCTTTGCCCCTAGCTAGATATAGTACTATCCTCTTTCGTCTGATTGTCCTCTTCCTGTTAAGAGAATCCTCCTACTGGTATGTTTATATCAATCTCGAATGCCTTATAACGAGTTATATCTTCTGGGTCTTGTTTTGTCTTAATAGAATCCCTATGAGTGAGTCATCCTTTCTTCTAATGCTTCCGAGTGGTTAGTCCTTACTCTATCTCTTTTAGTGGTATAAGGAGGAGTTTGATTCATAGAGCTGGATGTAGCTACTTTAGGTTTATATCAAGCTAGGCCAGCTAAGAATGTCTTTGATGGTAGCTTTCTTCTTACTGGTAGTTTTAGATCAAGATAGAACATATAATAAGACAAAAGATCTAGCAATCTGGTAGTTCTTGTAAGCCAAGCAGCTATAGAAGAGCGTAGGAGAGAGATCAAAGAGTAGTCCTCTTGTCACATCCTTAGCAGGGGATTCCTTCCTCTCTATGCCCACCCTGATCTACGCTCATCCCTTCTTTCCTTCTTCCTAGGAGCTAAAGGTCTTATTCCCTTAAGCAGTTTGAAGGCGCTACGTACTGTCTTCAAGTGCTTCTTACAACCCAGACACTTCTCCTAGTGATGTTAATATCATTCTCTCGTCCTGTAGCTTTTATTAGACTCCAAGATCTCAATGCTATTTGAGGAGAATCAGTTTGCTCCTGTAGGTTTATATCCCTCTAGAATGCCTTATAAGCCCTTCTATCTATCCCTCTCTTGCTAGTAGCTCTCTTCTTTCCTAGTAGCTTGACTTCTTTCCTGCACTGTTAGTTTAGTAAGGCCTAAGAGCTTCTTCCTTGAGGGGCCCGTCTAGAAGATAATGTATTCTATCTGGTAGCTAACCTGACGAGCTGCTGTTGATAAAGAATAAATATCTTCATTAATATAAGGCTGCAAGACAGAGACTTCCTCCTCCGGCCTTTTTCTCCGAGTTGCAAGTAGCAAGGAGGTTATTGCGACACGCATCAACTTCCTTCCTGTTTTGGTAGTGTAATAAGGCTTCTAAGGTTCTTGTATGCTATGGACCAAGCCGAATCCTTTTTATCCCCGCTACACCTAAGAAGGAAGTTAGCTGCTTGCAATATGGACGGTCATAACTAATGAGCTAAAGGAAGAGTGCAGAAGCCCAATTCCTTAACCTAACTGTTAGCTCTTGAAGATTGGTAGCTGTTTTGGCCCCACATTCCTGCCTTTATTAAGTAATGAGCTAAGGGTCGAACTCTCGAATATGAGCTATCTTTTTTGTAGTTCCTCTCCGAGTAGCTATTAGTACTTAATCTGGCTGCTAACCCGGTGAGCGGAAGAAGGAATAAAGTATCTCCTGTTGTTAGTAAGTAGCTTCATTTCCTTCCTGTATTGGTGGTTTGATAAGGATAGTTCAAGCAGTCTGCTAGGAGCTAAGGTTTTCCTTTCTTTCCCTGCGTGTGCCTCTCTTAAGGCTTTCAACTAGCCTTCCTATAGTGCAATTGCATACAGAGTCAATAATTCAGTAAAGGTAAGGCTTTAGAGTAAAGTCTGCCACAATTGGATCACCATCATGCCAATTGAGAAACATGGTGGCATGATTTGACATTGTCTCTTAGTTGAGGGGTCTTCAACATTTTAATTGCATCCTCCCATGCTGTCCTCCTATGCCAGTCACTACATATGCATAGGGTAGGGTTAGGGACTAGGCAAAAAAACCCTACCAATTTATTACAAACCCTAAACAACACTAAAACAAGGAGGGCTCACACCAAAGCCTATTTAAAGATCTCAAGACCAAAAAATCAGCACATTACATTCCCGCCACTTCTAAAATATTCAAAGTCTGACTGTTGCATAGGGTAAAACTTTTTCGTTACTCAAATTTATAATGCACCAATCGCATGGGAGCAACATTGCGGCTAGGCACAAGTACAAGACCTCAAACCAAATTACAATATCATTTCTACCTTTAACAACACAGCAATTGTAAGGACCATTGCTAAAATCAGAGTACAAATTGAAGGTCTAAACCTTGAAAATTAAACCCCAAATGATTGATCCTCACGGTCTAAATGAGCAACATATATACTTAGTCATGTACGTAAAAATAATATGTTTATCATTACAAATCTGTGCTATAAGTGAAGCTTGTCCTTCTGCTCTATCTGTTCATACCAACTTGCAGTGTTGGAGGCTGTCTGGTACCTCGTTTCTGCCTCTCCATGTTCCCATGCCACCCTATTCAATCAAAATATATACTGAAACCTATATATATAACTGAGAATTGCATGATAGATTAATGTAATGTTTGGTAAAATCCTTCTTTTATGTGATTTTTCTAAGTGAAGAAAAAATATTTTTGTCAAAAAACCAAAACCATCCTTCACTTCTTTGCAAAGATCGTTACATAAAATCTTGTAATATTTCATAAAATATTTAGATTCGTGTCATTAAGCTTGGAGGAAGAGAGCACGTATGGACAAAGAAAAAAGACACGACAGAGCAAATGCTACTTAAAAAGGGCAAAAAAGAAAGAAAACACTTTAAATTACATCTAGTAAATGATACTGAAGTATTTTTTTTGGCTAGGCTAAGTTGCAGATATGATATTAACAGCAATTGCTAAATTTATGGAGAGAGAGAAGGGGGAGGGGGGGGGTACCTATGGACATGTCAAAGCCCTGTTTCTTAAGCTCTCTATATTCTTGACACAAAGCACATTCCTCACAATAGCAATGGGCGCAGCAATCTGTGCAGGGGCTTTCGTTCAAGAAATACTGCCCTCTCAACTTGGATCGATAAAAACACGAGTATAAACACGAGCAACCCGTCACACACATTATTAATGTGTATAGTGCTCCGCTCACGCCACATGCTGCAATGAATGATAAATTTCACATTATAAACCAAAACAATGTTACATAAACTTTAAATGTTGACTTGATTAATTACTATCGTTAATTTAACTGTGGATCCCAAAAATTATTGGGATCCACTACTATCCAGTCAATTATTGTAATTAATCAATTCGGTATTTTACCTATAAATTATGACTCTTCTTTCATATGTCAAATTGATCACACATATATATAGAGCCCAACATATATGCAGTAGTCTTGCAACTTACAAGTTGATCCTCTGTCAACAATTTCTGCTATCCGACCAAACGTCACACATGGACACCAGCATGTTAAGCAACCTGAGGGACATTACATTGTATCAAAACCAAAATTGGTATACCAAAAAATTAAATAAAAGAAGACCAGTGGCAAGATGTAAGCTCGCACATTATAAGTCGAAGCTTTGATAGTATAAAACCTGGGTCTGATTGGTGCACATTCTTTTGGGTAATTACGTGCACATGAAGTTAGTTTATAACCATAAATTCATAAGACGTGTGATTGAAATGATTCTCTTCGCCTTTCAAAAAAATCAAAAAAGATTTAAATTTATATGTGGTGGTTATAGCTTGGATTTGTTTGTAGTTGTATATACTAATTTCTTCATGTACAAGGCTCTTGGTGCTAAGTGGTAATGAGTAGATTGCTCCATTTTATTATTATGAATGTTTTTTCAAGGGTGTGGTATGCTATTTTCTCCATTTAACTATTGACAATAACAGTGTTGGCTGCGACCGCAGGTGGGGCAATGGCGGCCGTAAATAGTTTAACTGAACCAAATCACGTCTTTGCAAAGTCCGAAAACCGAGCAAAACAAAACAAAGAGAGTGTTGGGGCATGTTTGGTTTGATTTTCAAAAATTGTTTTTTGTTTTCAAAATTCTAAAAACAAGGAGATGTTATTTGTTTAATTTTTTTGTTCTCTATTTTTTAAAAATTTTGGGAAATGAGATGTAATTTTAAAAAATAATAAAATGATGTTCACATTGTTTTCTAAGGCAAAATGAAAACATGGAAAATAAACTATCTTTATATTAACGAGGTCTTCCTTCGAGTTGCATTGGAGACAAAAAAGACAGACTGCCTCCACCGCCTCACTGTCTCAACCGCTTCACTGCCTCCATCGCCTCATTGCCTCCACCGCCTCATTGAGCTGCCTCCACCGCGCACAAAAGAGAGAGAACACAGATCTGTACATAGATCTGAGTAGCCTCCACCGCCTCTCTCTCTCCTTCGCAACTTCATCTTCTTTGCTCACTTTGTGTTTTGGGTGGCTCTGGATTCGGTGGGTTCAGTGGTTGTGGGTGGTTCCGTGGTGGTCTTTGGGGGGGGGGGGGGGGGGGGGGTTTTTGGGTGATACACAATAAAAGAGAGAGGGAGACAAAGAGTTGAAGAGATGTGATAATTGTGGATTATTATCTAAAAAATTTTATAATTTTTATTTTTTAAAATATATAATCAAACAGATTTTGTAATTTAAAAATTTGTAAAAACAGTTTTTAAAATTCTTCAAAAATAATTTTCAGATACTATTTTTTGAGATACAACCAAACAGGCCTACATCTCTCAAACATAAATTTTGTACAGCTTTACATCATAATCCCCTTAAACTATGACCCTAATTTTCCATTACTCTTTCACTATCGATTTAAACACAGAACACTGTTAATCTTTCTGATTTGTGATAAATTGTACATGATGTTAAAATGAATTGGCATGGCTTTACATCCAACCTGTTCAATTTTTGACCTCTCTAATTGGATCGAAGCTTTTTTCATTACATATCATTAATAGCATCTATAAACAGTAAATTTCACTTGAATCTACTTTGATTAATCTACCGTGAAAATGTAATAGAGAGGAAGTCAATTCTACGAAACACTAATATTCACAAGATGCTGTTTTTTTTTTTTTTTTTTGGGGGGGGGGGGGGTTAATGGATGCAAGTGAAAGAGAGAGATTAGTATGAGAATAAAACTATTTTCTCAAAAACTACGATTGCATTAATAAAAAGAAAAACAAATTATAGAAACCAAGATGAAGTAGTCCGTCTATCTAAAGAAAAGGCACTTACAACTGCTAATATCGTTGCAGCAATCGCAGAGCCCGGTAGACCAAGGTCCAGGAGAATGAGAAGACAAGTAAGCGGCGGCGGGAGGAGGGATTGGAGGGTTGATTTGATTTGTGACAAACATTGGAATGCCTGTGGTAGTGATTGGGTAGGAAGGAACTGGCGTAGGCGGTGGGGCTGGCTGTGGTGGTGCTGATGGTCCCGGTGGGGGTGGGGGTGAGGGTGAACCCTTCTGAAAGTTATTTGCAGTAGACATGGGGAAGAGAGAGAGAGAGAGAGAGAGAGAGAGTTTCCCAAACACTTTTTATTAGATTATCAGAGAAAAACAATGCATCCATAGTAAGCAGTTATATTTTCAAAGGAAACAGCACCAAATGTGCCTCTTGACGGTTGAAAAATAGTTGATGGCATTTGTTGGAAGCATTAGTGTTTTCTTTAACACCCCTAACATTTCTTTGGTCATGCACCCACGGGGATGCAAATAAAAATGGTCCGTTTTGTTAGAAAGAAAAGAATAATAGAAAATAAAAGTAATAGAAAGTAGAGTGAAAGAAAGAAAAAAAAAATTATTTTCTTGCATGTATTTAGTTAGCATGAAATATGTATAAAAGTAATGTTATTGGGACCTAAAAAATCTCATAGAATCAGTTGATCTAATAATGTGATTTTATTATAATCGTTAGATAAACATCAATTAATTAGCAAAATTTGACTGGGTTCACCGTCAATCCAAATACTATAATGATTTAAATCAGTCAATTAGATCAATAAATTAATACGCAATAAGATTGTTTGAGATATAACCATGGTAAGTTATTCATAAGAGGTGGGAAGTTACTGATAGATTTTTTTTTTTTTTTCTGAATTTGATTGTAATTTGTTTAGGGACACCAAATCCACTTCTTTGTTGATTAACTGTAACAAACTAATATAAAACCGATGCTGGGAAATCATTGTATTTTCTTATTATCACTTTAGCACCAAACCCTCCCTAACCTTAATATTAATGGAAAATTATCATTAATGTTTTAAAATGATATTCATATGAATTTTAAATAGTTAAGAGAGATGATTAGAAATTTAAAGTGAAAGTAGTTTTAAAAAATAGTAGGAGTGGTTACAAACGACACATGTAATAATTCAATTGGAGTGAAGTAATTAAATATCTAGTAATTAAGTATTTAAGGAGGAAAATCATCTCAATGTCTCTCTTTAAGAAAATGTTTGTTTTATATATGAGTAATGCTACGTAGACCTAAATATCGAGTCTAGTTTTAAAGTTTATGTAGTATTGTTCGTTATATATATAGATAGCCTAGCGGTCCACCCCATGCAATGCATGATTATTTATGAATATAGTCTCTTTTTTATTTTTTTTATTTACCCATTTCTTCTTTTGTTTTATCAATTGAGATGTTAAATGAATAATTGTAGAAAAATTTTAAGTGGTAAAAAGTAACATTTTTGAATAAATTTGAAAAATAATAGTTGGTTATAAGGGAATAGAGCTGTGGTTACAAATGACACATGACAGTATTTGATTGGAAGAAACCTTAAATTATGAATTAAAAAATTCTAAATTGTAAGAATTTAAGAAATGGGGAGAGAATGCTTACCAAACCTTCTCACCTCTAAATTGTGTGTTTTATATATATACAAGTAGGCATCCCGTACGATGCACGAAATTTATCGTCTCTTCCTATTATTATCTTATTATCAAATCCTTCGCTACCATAATATATCTGAATAATTTCTATTAGTATTATCATTCATTTATATTTTAAATAATTAAGAAAAATAATAGAAAGTTCAAATTTTGAAGTAGTTTAAAAAAATTGGTGGGAGTGATTATAAAGACGTATATAATGTTTGGATTAGAGTGAACTAATTAAATATTTCCAAATTCTAGTAAATTAACAAGTAAGGAGGGAAGCATTTTCAGTATCCTATCATCCGTAATTTGATTGTTTTATATTATAGTAAAATATATATTGATAGATAGACATGACACCAAACTCACCATCTTTCTTCATTTACAGTAGAGACCAATCCCCCCCCCCCCCCCCAAACAATCTCTCTCTCTCTCTCTCACACACACACACAAACACCAAAATAAGTTGTTGGGGAGAGCATATCAAACAAGAGATAAGCAAGGTCAATGAGAGTTTTGACCACAAACACACAAGAGACCTCAAGTTATACCACGAAAGGACTCCCATCGGTTAATTCAAGAAAAGGATGTTTTCAAAGTGAATGGCATTCCGCTAACTGTTCAAGCTTAAAGATATATAGTTTAAGATTATTTGTATGTAATCATTTTCCCCATTGGTACTTTGATAGCCTTACTCTCCAAAAACAAATTGTGCAATTTAGTTCAATTCAAGGATTTCTAATCCTATTTTGCCTTTGAATTATATTAATGGTCATTTTTATATTAATCAAAGCTAATAATCCTAACATCTTACGTTTAATAAAGACTAGCCACCCTTTTCGAGACATGCTTTAATCTAATTCAAACTATAATGGTCAGCTATAAAAATCAAGAGAGTAGTTGACACAATTTTAAACACTTTGTGACCAAAAAAAAACCCATATATACCAGATGTGGTTGGTATTTGTAATTGTTGAAATAAGGAGGGTTTATTAAGCAATTGATTGGTTATACCATACACCCAAACCACTCAAGTCGAATTTCTCTTAGTTTTATTCATAATTAATATACTCATTTTTGATGATATATTTATGTTCTTCAAGACCCAATTTATAAGTCAACTTTGGCAGTAGTCTACCACAATTTGATACCACTTTCTGATCTTTAGTCTATTGTTAAAAACATGCTAGTTCTGTATAATCGAGGGTTTAAATCTTTACCAATTTACAATGCTGAATGATAAATGACAGCACTCACATAGTCACACATCTCTGTTTTTTCCCCCCACAAAGCCAAGGGGGAAGAACAAACACACCCATTGGATAAGTTTAGAAGTACCTACCCTTCCAAAACTGAGACCAAGACAACTGAAAATTAATGAAGAAATTAATATACAGACATGTACTAGAGAACAAAGCTAACAAATTCCTTTGAATTTGGAACAACTTTGAAAAATCTCACCAGAACAGCTTCTATGAACTCAAAGCATTGACCCCAATCAAAGTACCTTTTTCCAAGTAATCACCCTATATAATCCTAAACCATCCGAGCAGAAAAAAACCAAGAATCCAAATTTCAAGTTCAATTCAAAGCTATCACGGACTTTCTTTACAGTGTCCAACCAAACATGGACCCATTTTATGAGTCTGATGGAGATGATAATGGTGGTGATGATGCTTTCTATGCTGAGATAAGAAGGCAAATTTTGCTTTTGACAGCAGATGACGACAAAGATTTTAACAAAAACAATGATTCGGGCTCCACTAGAGTCACCACACATACCACAAACTATGGCTACGCCATTGCACAACCATCGGGAAGCTATTTCTTTTGGCCGGGAAATGAGAACACTGATACAATACCCCCCCGGGTTTTGAACTTGTGGAGAACTGGCAATGGCACAGGGGTGTTCATACCCCAGGTGGTCAAGCCCAGAAGAAGACATAATAAGCCAAGTATGTGCCTTATTGGTGCATGAACATATAGTGACTCTGTCTACCGAGTTTTTTCTGTTCTTTTTATTTTTTTAACTCATATCTTCTTTCATTTAACGGATCTGTTGTTTCAATCTGGATTGCAGGAAGGAAGAAGATTGACAAGGGAAGAACATATCAACCAGTGGCACACAAGAATTGATGATCCTACAAAGTTTTCTAATTGTTCCTAATGTTAAAAATGACAATTCTTTGTGCAAATGTCAATACATACTGATAATACAAAAGAGACCAACTTCCAGATTTGTCGAACATGATCTTTGATTTGCAATTTCACGCACACAACAAATGTTCATGGATGATGGTGGCTGCCCCTGACAATTAAACATCTAAATATGGCAAATCTTGCATTAGATCATCGTAATATATGTTCCGTCCAAGTGTATAGCATACGTAAATTACAACATGAAGTAAGCAGCTACTATTAACGACTGCTCAGAAACCAACCAATGGTAGACATGGCTCCTCTCAGACACTGCAACAACGTCAAATTTGGTGTGGGACTTACCTACCATCAGCAGACTAAACATTAGCAGGGAAAGAAAGGGTTACCATTGTTAAGCAGATCATCTCCACAAAACCTTCAATGGTTACTTAGTAGAGGTTGTCACTACAATAAGACTGTCATAGGGAAAGCAATGATGTTAATCTTTAGGGCGTGCTAACCATAAAGAACTGAGTGCCCGGAGACGTGACATATAATCACTGATAACAAGGAGGGCACGCGCAGCTTGACGGGGTGTCAAAATTCTCTGCATTTGTTGCAAGGTTTGCTGCCTCAGAAGGTCGGCCTAGCAAGATTAAAAGCATTTGGATTACACCATCCCATTAACAGGCAATAACTACCCATGACCTATAGAAAACGTAAAACTTATAATTATCTTCCCAATCATGTAATTTATGTGCTTTCAAGTTCAAGTGTGTTGATACATACTTGGATAGTTGGATTTGTGGTGTGAAGTTTTTACCTGATGAAGGAAGTTCTCGAGTGTGGCAAGCTTGCCCATGGCAATTGCCATTTGTCCCATGTAGTCGGCCATGTTGCCCGATACAGTAGGCCCGAGGGAGTTAGAGGAAAGTGTCTCTAAAAGTGATTGCTGCAAAGCTTCCATTCCTTGTGATAAGGCATCCTCAGCCTGTTGGGAGGACTGCTGTAGATTACATATTCCCATCAACTGCTGATCCGTTAAAGGTTCAAGGTGGTTCCCAAGAATCTGAAATTCCAGAAATTAGAAACTTTTGCGAAAAAAAAAATACTCTAACAAGTGATAGGACAGCGTAAAAATAATAAACCGATTGCCCCGCACATTAACATTGAATCACCTTAAGAACCTCAGATGAACGAAATCCACCCAACCACATGAAGCACCTTTCCGCAGGGGTCTTCCACATGCCCGAGAGCATGTGAAATACATCAGCCTTTGCACCTATGTTCTTTAACCTGAATAATTCATCATAATGCGACATTACTCCATCAACAAGAAGGCGCAGTTCATTGTCACCCACTTGAGAAGTTACAGCTGATCTCAGATCATTGATAAGCCGTTGATGTTCATCAAGCCAGTGAGCGTAGTCCATGTCAAATGCCAAGGCGCCTAGACAGAGAGCATAACAAGAAACTTGATAATATCAAAACGACATTTCTATGTGCTCTACAAATTTTCAATAGGTTTTTTTGTCAAAAGAAAACACCGAGCACAATTTGGGTAAAATACTTATTTGTTAAATTTATTTCATAATGACATTAGCTTTTGTTGCCCCTTCAACACACACATGAATGCGCAGAAAGAGAACCGAATAGCTTTAGACACAGTTAGAACGTACAAAAATGACATTCATGAGCACAATGCTTGCTTTGCGGTCTACCTTCACAATGAAGAGAATCCAAAAAGGGGTTCAGGCGAAAGAGAAAAAGGGCAACCCTGACAATTAAGAGAAGTATTATTTCATGAAAATTATGAGAACCTAATCCAAGATGAATTTGTTTATCTTCCATTCAGATTATGATATGACGGATTAAAGTAGATAACTCTGATGAATTGAACTGAAAGCAAATGAATAACCTACATCAATCAAGCATGGAAGATGCTTTCATCCTTTCTCTAGCAGTCCAACTGAAAATCTCAAGAATATGCATAAATGGGTAATCGGAACTACAAACTTTTGCACCAAAAAAAAAAGTACTCGGAACACGCATTGAGAAATATAAATGCTGCTGTCCATATCTGGATTTTTTCAGAAGATCACTCCCTCAAGCATGGTAACAATAACATGTCCTTATTCATTCATCAAACCAGAACTACAAAAACAAATGTTCGCAACACACTCCACCAGTCTTAAACCACTTGCAAAATTTGATATTGTATTGTGCACGGCATCCAAGAGAAAAATACAAGCACCTGCTTCCAGCTTCAGGAATCACACTAAGACGTTTTCCAGGGTATGTAAGAAAGGCAGTGGCACATTGACTTCTTTCTCCTACATGCTTCATTTCTTGGATTCAACTCGTAAACAATACAAAATAAATTGACAGGCTACTACATGAAGACAGCAAAGCTTCACTGTGAAGTGGAGTGGAGATGGTGAAAGATAGCACTCCACTTTCTTCAGAATTTGACATATCAGATCATATATCAATTTATTGAAGAATTACTTCACTTACATGGTTTTCATCTCTAGTTTCTTCTTCATAATCTCCCAATTGCATCTTCTTTCACAATCTAGAAGGCAACCTTCATCTATCCTATTCCAAATTGTCCAACCTTTTTTAGGAGCATTCAACCTCATTTTGTCCTCTGTTATGGGAACAACATAACCTTCCAAGTCCTCGTGCTTTTACTGTCACTCTTAAGCACTAAATGAGTGAATGCATTAACGCTTAACCCAAAACAGAAATAGTGACCCATAGAATATTGGAATAATATCGAACACCTCAGTGGTACAGATATTCATAAATCAGTTGTATATTCAGCATAACCCTTCTTGAAAATCGTTTATTGTTACTACCAAACCAGCACAATTTATAAGATTGTCAATGAAGAGAGCTCGCATTACACTAAATTGCGCATCATTGTTCTTTTATTGAATAAATGATTAATCTTGTAGCACCTAAACATTTAGAATTAAGGTTGCTAACAAAGAACATGCAACTCATTTGCTTACCATTTCCACCAACTGAATAATTCTGATCTCCTGAAAGTCCAGATGCAACAAACATACCCTGTATCAATACAAAAGGAAAATTTTCATGAGAAAAACAGTTCACTAAGCAATAGCTAAGAACCTAACCAAAAGAAAACACATCCCGAGATGTGATGCTCACAAAGAGAAGCACACAGACAAAAGATTTATTACTCATATAAATGCACTCACCCACACACTCACCCACACATGCACACACACACAGATCACCTGCTGACGTGCTCGCTTAAGCTCCTGCTCTAATTGGGTAAGCTTGAGCCGACTATTCTCCAGCTGCTGAACATACGCCTATCCAAAACCGAAACCTATGAATAATCAAGTATATTCTTTGTATTACATAAACGTATCATGGCGACACAATCAGAAAAGGCAGACTAACATAAAATCTTGGCTGAAAACAGTCAATCAGGCATCTGACATTACATGTCACTTCAACATAAACAAGATGACACTAGCAAGAAAACGTCAAGCAGAGAGTAGATGGAGCTTTTTGCAATATTAAACTCAAAATGCTCTAAGAAAGAAGTAAATGAAACAAAAAGACAACCTCCTTTGCTTCTTGAACGACAGACCTAGACCAGGTGCCAGGTATTCTTCAAGGAGAACTGCCTAAAGAAGCCTCTGACTAATCGAAGAACGATGCTAGACATTATCTGTCTGCAAGTGGGTGTTTCTGAAACAACTAAAATTACAACCAAATCATGTATCATGCTAATCAAAACTCAGCCCAATGCCATTGTTTTTATATACGCATCAGTCAAACGTGACTAATTTACCCACAGAGATTTCAAGACATGCTTTGAGATGATCTAGTTGAGTAATTTGTATCATGAAAATTTTCGAACCATTGACTAAATTTGGATTCACCACAGCGAGATCAGTAGAAGACAATCAGAAATTGAGAGAACAGAGGAGACACTACCCAGAAAACTTCCGACCAACTACAACATTATTACAAGAAAAATTCCCTGGGGCCGGGAAAACAAAAAAGGGACAGAAGTTACAAACCAAGATCTAGCTTAACTAAAATTTTCTTAATATAACATCTTATTTGTCTTAAATTTCAGTGTCCCAAATAAATTTATAGTATTGAGATAAACACATCAACCAAAAAACCAAACAGATGGTGTCTGAGAGATGGAGCAATGAACATCCAATATAGCCCAACAATACAACCAAATGTTGCATGGTAACAATAGAAGAAAATAGTTGAGATGCACAATTACTTTTTTCCTCAACCGACTCTTGCGTGCAGCTTCTCTGTTTTGAGCCAGCCTACGAAGTGTCTGCATCATAGTTAACAGAAAAGTATAAGCTTAACTTTCAAGCACTTCACAAAAAGACTGTAACCGGAAAATGGGGAACAGTGCACCATGTCAACCACCTTCTGATCTCCAGGTTTTCCACTTGATTGATCGACCGAGTCCACAACTAACAGTGCTCCATGTTGGACTCCATGAAACTACAAAATGATGAATAACGGTCATCAGCACTTCCAATCCAGGGAGAAGTACTAATTTAAAATTGTTACACATTTTAGAAATTTCCAGAATGTTAATTGAGAAAAAGATATTATGTTCGAACAAAGATATTATTTTATAGGAACACAAAAGTAAGCACTGATGGACACCTGAAGTTCGTACTAGGTCTCAGAATTCCTCTGTGATTGCTCTAAAGCAGCAACCACAAGAATTGCAATATAGTAGCAGCCCAAGAAAACATAATAGTTGGTGAAAGATGATTAAAGGCCACGGTATTGGCCATTGAATTGGAGGGCTCTGAGACAAATCAGCCAGAGGGTGAGTCGTGGAACAGCATTGCACAGTATGAATAAAATGGTAGCCGGAAAAAAAAAAAAAAAAGAAAAGCTGGACATGGTGAGAGATTACTGTCATATCACAGTGTTGCAAAAAGGTACTGTGTAGTATCAGAAAAGTATTGCCACATCGCCAACAATGACTTGGACAACTCAAGAATCGAGTGAGAGTCATGGCATAAAGGAACGTGTGCCAGTCTCAGCAATGATATATAATCAACTGAGTTGTGTCAAAAAAGCAAATTCTTTGAACCATGGGTGAAATACATTATGATAAGAATGAAGCCATAAATCACAGTCCCACCTAAGTGAAGTTTTTAGTGCCACAAGTAAATAGGAAATTTGCAAAGAAACAAAGTAAAAACAAGCCTAAACACATCAATTTTATACACAAGACGACAATAATAGTAGTTTGTGGGGAGAGGGAGAGGGAGAGAAGAGAGATAAAAAACCTGATTCTTATCGTCAGTGTCAACATCTGTGGAAGTGTCGGTCTGTTGGCTGTGGTCTGCCATTACAGACTCTCCCCAATTCTCAAAGTGCCCACTTCCCAAAGACCCCCCACTAACACCCACTATTGTTGGTGTTTGTGGTGTCCCCTTCTGCAACATGAACTGCCCTGTATCAACCCCTGTTCCTGATGAACCCATTTCTGTTGATCCAATGTCCTACAAACACAACCTAGCAATCACTTAACCCCCATATATAAATAGAAACACATGTACTGATATGCATGCATATGCATATATACATGTATGTACGCAGAGAGAGAGAGAGAGAGATGGGTGGGGGTGGTACCGTGTTTAGTCCACCAAACTGTAAGTTATGAGAAACAAGAGCAACATTGTTTGGCTTTACATCATTGTATATAGAACCTATATAGTGAATATAAAATAACAGGACAGAGTCGTTGGTTGTTAGAAAAGATGAAAACTTCAGAGATTGAAAAAGAGCAGAGAGAATAGAAAGTATACTTCGGCTTAAATCAACAGCATCCTCCGGATGAAACCCAGCTGACTGCTCAAGCTCCCCAAGATCCGCAAACCGCGTCTGGTTTCTGTTACTTTCATCAACCCTGTATCATCGCTCAATAAACACAAAGACACTCTTTACACCACAACTATATATATATATATATATATATATGTACAAAGAAGAAACAGAGTAGGAGAGAAAGAAATACCAACCGAAGATGAAAGGGCGAGTGGCAATACAAATATGAGTTGGTGAAAGAAGCTGGTTCTGCTGCTTTGAAGCTCTGCATTTTCTCTTTCTCAATCTCACTCTCTGTATGTAACGATGATATGTTTTATAAATGTACACTGCTTTGAAAAGATCAGGAAGTTGAAGCAGAAGAAGAAGCTGGTTTTGAGCAAAATCTTGAAGATATCTTTTTCAATCAGAAGATATAGCGTATCAGAACGGCACCTTTTTAATTCACAAAACGTCAGAATCAGAGAAACCCTCAACTTTTTCATAATTGTTTTCTGACTCCTCTTGGGCATTTTAGTCTCCCAATAACCACCTCCACATTTCTCTCTCCAATGGAGCGTGCATGTCAAGTGCCAACCAAATGGCCAGCATTCTGGGTACTGCCATGCACGACCTGCTAGCTTGTGGTACAGTTCATGAGGTGGGTGGTCCTCTCTTCAAGAAACACACCACTGACTCTCTCTCTCTCTCTCTCTCTCTCTCTCTCTCTCTGGGTTTCCTAGCTTTCGTAGATGCTCTCTTTCTGTGTGGATATAGCTGAGGTGTGTTTTAAACCATTGTTTTGATGCTTTCTCTGCGTTGGACTGTGTGTATTTTTGTGTTTTTATATATAGGGGTTTATAGGAAAGAGAGTCCTTAGGGCGCTAAAGATGATGGGATGGTGATTGAGATGTGATCTAAAAAGTTAAAAAGTGCAGGAGAATATTTAATTACCATGAATGTTTGGGGGTCCACATAAATTTTAAAGATAAATTTCAGCCGCAAGTATTTACTTTTTACCTATTAAAATTCAACTTAATTAAAAATTATATTTTTTTCCATATTAAAATTTTAATTGATATAATTAAAATTTATTTTTAATCAACTTGAATCAAATTTTAATTAATTTATATTAAATTTTAATTGATCCAAATATTAATACATAAAAAATATAAATTTTAATAGAATCAAATTTAAATACATAAAAAATTAAATTTTAATCAACTTAAATCAAATTTTAATTGACATGAATTTTATTAAAAAATTATTTTAAATTTTAATCAATTTTAAACAATTTTAATCGGCATTAATATTTCAGATAGAGTTCAAATCGACTCAAATTTTAATACATAAAAAAAATATAATATTCTCAAATTTTAATACTTTAAAAAATAAATTTTAATCAGCTCGAATTAAATTTTATTCAATTCAAATTTTAATATGTAGAAAAATAAATTTTAGCCAAGAACAATTATAAATGTAATGTTATTCCATTGTGGCATACATATTAATGATCCAAGTCGTAAAAATATCATCTCACATTAGGGATAATCTAAGTACAATTGACCTTATTTCAACATGTTGCAACAGCAGAAGCCATAGTGGGCCATATATATGAGTATATATATTATATTATCGTTATTCAATTGATAGTGAGATTCAACATTGAATGCATTATATTTGTTAATCAAACGATAACAATGTATTTGGTGTAATACCTGTGTTTAGTGGTGTTAGACGTTGGGTTTCAGGGGTGGTGGTGGATGATTTCATGGGTGGGTGATGGGTTTTATAAGGGGTTTCGAATGTGGTTTTCGAGGGTGATAGTTGGGTTAGGTGGTGATAGATTCGGGGGTGGATGGTAAATTTTACAAGAGATGGGGTGGTGGGCTTTCAACGATGGGTTTCAAAGGTGGGTTGTGGTGGCTTGAGGAGGGGTTGGGTGGTTGGTGGTGTTAGATGATGGGTTTTGGTAGTGTTAGGTGGTTGACGGTGGCGGTGAGTGTTTGTGGTGTTGAGTGGTAGATTTTTAGTATAATATTAAACATATTTTTTATTTTTATAAATTTTCAATATAAATTACTATCAAACATGTTTTATATTTTTAATTTTGCAATTAAAGTGGTTAAACAAACCCAACAACTTGAGTTTGATAAGGGATCAACTTTGTTTTAGCTTGTCTAAACTTTTGTGTATTAAAGAATAAGTTATAAAATGACCAAATGTTTAAACTCGTTTAATATTTAAGTAAGAAATAGATTCACTTTTATATATAACATACTTTCTGTGATAAAAAATGATAAAGCAATTTCTTTAAAGATATTACTTTTTAACTTTTAATTATGAGATCAAGGTCCTAACCATTTTTTAATGGGAAAATTTTGGCGACACTTTTTTTAATTTATCATATCCTTAAGTACATTTTATCCATTTTTTGAATTTTCAATGACACTCCCGATTTAAAACCTTAACTAGAATACAATTTTATTAAATTGCTCGCTATGTATTTTAAGAAAAAATTAATTCATGCCCCCTATATAGAAAGACATATCTTCAATGAGCCCCTCTCTATTTTATGAATTTTTTTACGTATTAAAATTTAGGTTAATTAAAATTTAATGCGGGCCAATTAAAATTTAATGTTAGCTGATTAACGGTAAGGGATATTAGTGATATTTAAATATAAACGAAAAAATGTATCAATAATATTTTTTATAATAGAAATGGTGTTCTTAAAGATTTGATAAGCTAGAAGGGGCGTAACTAAAATTTTGTTTTTTTTAATTATTGTCCCATCTTATAGATACTTCTAACGAGTCCAATTTTATTTTTTGAATAATACTATTTAGACCTAAAAATTTGATCTAATTTGTTGACATAATGAGGTGATTTCAGCAGAACTATTTGATCAACACCTAGTTCTAATATTTGATGGGCCCCACAGTTAATTCAAATATTATAGTAAATTAGATCAACAAATTAGGTCCCAGTAGCATTGCTCTTATTTTTTTTCAGAATTTACATATTTTTTATTTATTTTTAAATCATCATCGTATTGGGTCGATACACAGGCTTACGAATTGGGTCTAGACAAATGGGTCATACCGTGGGCCTAGTGGGCTAGAATAATCAATCATTCAAAAATCACAACTCTATCTGATGGATAAGTGGGCCGCAAATATAATGGAATCGATTCAACCCAAAATTTGGTAGCCCCCGCACAAAACTGTCCTGCCATATTTTTTAATAAGAAAGTATACATCACAATAGTCATATTACATGGTAAGGTGACGTAGTATCACTAACTAATAATACTAAAAATAAATAAATAAATAAACTTCATAAAAATTAATAACTAACATGTCATATAAGCAAACTAGTTATTATCTATTCCTGAAAGTACAGAGTAATAAAAAAATGATAAACAATAAACATATTATATTCATATCCAAAATTAAATCAAAATATAAATAAGAGATAAATAAATTTAAGTATCAGTTTAATAGTGGGAATGAGAGGTGGTGGTGATAGGAGACGGTGATGGTGTGTGGTGAGTGGCAATTACTGTGGTGGTGACGAGGGCGACGATGATAATGGTGATGGCGACAGCGACGATGATGGTGGGTGTGGCGGTGGTGGTGGGGGTGGCGATGACGGGGGTGGTAATGGTGGTGGTGGTGGCAGGTGGCAGCGGTGGTGGTAATGACGGCGACGGTGGTGGTAGTGGTGGCAGTGGCAGCGATGGTAATAGAGGTAGTGATAGGACAGTTTCAAACACTATTATTTTTTTTAAGTATTTATGAAACATAATTTTTAAAAGTAATTTTAAAAAGTCACTCAAAACACACTCTTATGAGCCTATTTTTCTATTAAATTTAAGGTGTTAATATTAACCCTTAGATTAACTTTAAAGTAAAATGATTTAAACCGCGAAAAACAAAAGTCATTTTGTTTATCGTTTGAGATTTGAATTGTAAGTTACTTTATTATATATACTAATTATTGTCTGTGCCTGAAGACACAAAGTAATAAAAAATAATAAACAATAAACATAATTGTATTTATATTCAAAATCAAATCACAAACATAGAGAAAAGATAAAATAATTTAAGTATCGGATTGTAGTGGGGATGGTAGGAGACGGTGATGGTTGTGGTGGGTGGCAATGACCGTGGCAGCGGCGAAGGAAGCGATGATGGTGGTGGCGACGGCGATAATGGTGGGGGGGGCGAAGGTGGGGGGCAACGACAGTGGCGCCGACGGCGGTGGTGGGGGTGGAGGTAGTGGTGAGACGATTTTAAACACTATTTTTTTTTCAAAATATTTATGAAAAATAATTTTTAGAAGTATTTTTAAAATGTTACTCCAAACACATCCTTAAGGGTCTATTTTTTCTATTAAATTTCTATTTTTTCTATTAAATTTAGAGTGTTAATATTAGCTGTTAGATTAACTTTAAAGTAAAATTTAAAGCGATCTCTGTCGCGAATAGATAAAGTCTTTTAGTTTATCTTTTGAGATTTGAATTGTAAGTTATTTTATTATATTGATAACTCTCTAATCTTTTGAACTTTAAAGTAAAATTTAAAGCGATTTTTGCCGCAAATAGAAAAAGTCTTTTAGTTTATCTTTTGAGATTTGAATTGTAAGTTACTTTATTATATTGATAACTCTCTAATCTTTTGGCATATAAGTTCAAATGGAGTTTACCTTATCTGTTTGTAAATTTATTATTGGTTGGTGATACACTGATCACCGTTGCATTTAATATTTTCTCCTAATTCAAATATTTTAAAATAATTTTTTTCTTTTTTATTTTTTTTTATTTTTGGCAACTTATCTAGCATTAATAATTGAGGGACTCGTTTTCTATACAATAAAGTTCACTTAAATTCAATCCGCCCAAAAAAATATATATATTAAAGAGATCTCACTTCATATCCTCCATTAAAACAAGGATAAATGACTTTTTAGTAGGTGTCAATTCTGATACGAATTCAACACGAACGATTATAAAATTAATACGATTATTAAATACGTATAAAAAATAATTTAGATTAATATTTAATACTCAAAATACATAAAATAATTTTTTTTGTAAGTCTCGACACAAACATGACATAAATAAAAATAACACAATACGAATAATATGATATATAGATCAAACGAATACGATACGATTGTCACCCTAATTTTTCGACTATAAAAAATATTGAACTTGTTGAGATGTAAGTTCACAAAACCCAAGCTTGAATCCATAAACCTCCTTATCCTTGGCGGCTAAAACATAGAAAGCCAAGGAAAGTTCTGCCACTATACAACTAAAAACAAATAAAATATTCCTATTCTATTTTTAATAAGATACACCAAAAATAACTAGAATAATATATTGGATAAAATTTCTAAACTCATTAAAATACTAATAATAACAAAATAAATAGAAGATATAACACTTAGAGAGTTTGCCCTTAAAAAAAAAAGACCGTGAACCACATTATAATATTTTTAATTTTTTAAGAAATAATGAGAAAAAATTAATTATTCGAAAGATAAATTTAATTTTTTTATATTTTTAAGGGGACAAATGAGATTTTCCATAAATTAAATTCTTCAATTTTGGGCTGGCAACAGCGTTGCGATGAATATTTTCTTCGTTGTGGGGTCAGCGTTAACGTGGCGCAGTTGAAATACTCCAATCATAGACCACGCGTCGTCTTCACTTCCTCTTTCTTAGCCGACCAAGCAATTTTGTAGTCCGAACACAGAGACAGAAATGAAACCTAAAGCCCTTGACCCTCTCATCGTCCCCTCTCCTTTGTAATCTCTATTTTCTCTCTAGTGTCCTCTTTTTTCTGTGTCTGCGCCTCTGAAAGATTACTTCCAAACATATAGGTATGTTAAAAAAAAACTGTTTCATCTCCTTACTCTTGTATTAATTGCTGATCTTTGATCTTTAGCAGATGCTTCGTAATACTTTGAACTTTTTTTCTGAATTGTAGTGTTATATCTAAATTAATTGAGATAATCGAAAAGAGAAATAGGATTTTGTATAGCCGACTCAAATGGTTTCTATAGACCTTTGTTGATTTGTTTAGTTGTGTTGAGTTGAAGTATTACTTGGTCGATCAAGCTTTGAATACTCACCTGACAAGGTGGTGTTTTGGGGGTGGGGGGATCGGAAGTCCAAACCCACTGCACACGAAAAGGGTACCTGAGATTTTTGTAATTTATTTGATTTAAAAGATCTAAGCACTCTCAGTGTCTATATGCGTATCTATACGTACATGTACATAGGTAATTGATACTCTACAAAGATTTTTCCTAAGTTTTATTAATTTGTGATCAGAATTCTTAATTTTATACCGTCGGGATCAAGTAGGTTCCTCAACATATTGTTGATTTATGGAGATTATTGGGTTCTTAAATATTAATTATTAGACGGTCGTTTATCAACACAATGATCGGCTGCGTTGCCTCTGAATCCTAATGTGGAGTAAAAATCACCGGTAGATTTCTCTTTGTTGCTGAATTTTTGGTTGTTTGGTCCTTCTCCCAAGCACTCATTTCGTCAATGTTGACGTATCCGTATCAAATATGATATTCATCGAATACGTAACGAATATCCATTTTACGTATCTAATAATTTATAAAATATGTGAATATTTCAAGGATACTTCTACACATAGAATAAAATGTCCTATTTTTAATTTTATGGGTTAATTGCACTGGATGCCCTAATATATGAGATTTGTCTCAGTTTGGTTCATAATATTTCAATTGCATCATTTTAGTTTCTGAAATAATGAATACGTCGGGTAATTCTTGACCAAAAATGTTTAATATGGGTAGCTCTTGACAAAAATTTAGATAGTTTCTAATCAAAACTATATTATTTATAATTTAAGTAGCCTTTTGACCAAAATTTTGGTAGAAATTTGGTGAAGAGTTATTTAAATTATTTTTGTACCTATATTTAGGTATTACATGACAAGTTTATAATCAAAAATCGTTAGTAATGTGGACGCTGATTGCGTGAGGGACCACATAAAAACATATTCAATACATCAAAGACCAAAATGATGCAATTGACATATTGAGAATCAAAATGAGACAAATTCTATATTTTGGGGATCTCCAGTATAATTAATTATAATTTTAATCTATACCCTCTCATCAAGTTCACATACAATACAAAATATTAACAAATTTCATTTGACTTTAAATAAAAAGTAATTTTTAAGTATTATCTACTATTACATGTCAAAAGAGTATAAAAAAATAAGTTAATTACAATGTATTCTTATAATCAAATACTTGTAAGAAAATCAACTAGTTAAATATTGGTTATGATTTCTTTAATTGGTCATGTTTACTTTGTGGATATATCATAATGAGACAATATTATATTGTTTTAAAGTAAAAATTACTAATTTTGCTTACTATTGTTAAAGAATTGCTAAAAACTGTACTTTTTATGTTGTTATAATAAAATATAAAATATATTTTATTATAAACATATCCTGATCGTATCCATATATTTTTCTTTTTTTTTAAAGTTTTATTGTATTGCTGTATTCATATCGTATTTTACCCATATCATATCAATATCTATGTTTCATAGCTCATAGATCAGTTATTTATTAGTAATAGACATGTATGGTCTTAAGCTTATATAAAATGCCTAGGGAAACCCGTGCCTCAAGGTACGGTACAATGTGAATAGTTTTGAGAGGGATGTTGGTGGTCGTTAAATGAGTCTATTTGAGATCGTCAAATGAGTTTATTGAAGATTGTCCTGTTTTATATTATAGATATGGTTTAAAGATTTTATTAGAACTTGGATTATTGAAATTTTCTTTGAAGTATTAGGAATTGATTTGGAAAATAGGAAAAAGAAAAAATGTTGCCCACTGAATTGTCTCGGGAGGAAAATGTGTATTTGGCCAAGTTGGCTGAGCAGGCTGAGAGGTATGAAGAAATGGTAGAGTTCATGGAGAAAGTTGCAAAGTCCGTGGATGACGAAGAACTTACTGTGGAGGAAAGGAACCTTCTTTCTGTTGCATACAAGAATGTCATTGGAGCTAGAAGGGCTTCTTGGCGAATTATCTCTTCCATTGAGCAGAAGGAAGGTAGTCGAGGTAATGAAGATCGTGTGGCGGTTATTAAGGATTATAGAGGTCAAATTGAAACAGAGCTGAGCAAGATATGTGATGGGATTCTAAGCCTTCTTGACGTCCATCTCATTCCATCAGCTACAGCTGCAGAGTCCAGGGTGTTTTATTTGAAGATGAATGGTGATTACCACAGGTATTTGGCTGAATTCAAGACTGGTACCGAGAGGAAGGAAGCGGCTGAGAACACTTTGTCGGCTTACAAGTCTGCTCAGGTGGGTTGTCAATGTCCTCCATCTTTTTACCTTATTCTGCCTCATGTTTGCTTTAGTTTCTTTGTTGGATTTTCATACTTCCTGCATCTGTTGGCCTTTTTCCGCATCTCTTGTTTTTCGTACAGGATATTGCTGTTGCTGAATTGGCCCCTACTCACCCAATAAGGCTGGGACTTGCATTGAATTTTTCTGTGTTCTACTATGAGATTTTGAGCTCACCAGATCGTGCTTGCACTCTTGCAAAGCAGGTTTGTTGATTTGATTGTTTGCCATCTTTAGGCGTCAAGTGTCCTTGAAGATGCAAATAGACTAAAATTATATGATAAAGTAAATGTCCTGTTGGGAGTTCTCTGCATGGAAAGGTGTGAGCTGTGCCAATTATGCTATAATATCTTAAACTGAAGTTCCATTACGTTAAGGTTGTATGAACCGTATGTGTATTTGTGTTTGTCTATACTTTTAGATCATTATTTAGCTAAAGATTTGCCAGAGTGAGACTGAGATGGCCTTACCTATGAAGAAGATGGTGGTCGTGTTTTATCTCTTTGTGTAAATACTAAATAAATTAGCTAACTCTACATGGTGGAAAGCCTGACGACCTGAACTGTGTTTTTTTTTTATCTAGCATTTGAACCTAGATGTATCTGCCATGGGTACATGCTCTGATCATCTTAATTGATTTTCTCTCGACGGTTCTCTCAAATTAGATTGTGTACTACAACAATTTGATTCTGTCTTTCACCGTGTTGCTCATCCTCACATCTAAGTTTCCCAGCATTTTGATGTTTCAATTCTATATCCGTACTTTAACTGTTACTAAAGTTCGGTTGTACCAATTCCATATAGGACCTCGGATAAGGGCATCCATCAAGATTGAACTTCTACATAGCTTGAGTGCCTCCCTTCTTTTGAAATTTAACTTTTGGTTTTGACAGGCTTTTGATGAGGCTATTTCAGAGCTGGATTCTTTGGGTGAGGAATCCTACAAGGATAGCACACTGATCATGCAGCTTCTCCGGGACAATTTGACATTGTGGACCTCTGACACTCCGGTTTGATGCCCTGCTCTCTCTCTCTTTCTCTCTCTCTCTGCAAAAACTCACACACACTCACACACTGACATACATATAGGTGCTTTCCTTTGGCACGCCACATGCTCACGTGCACATTGACGCTACCCTTTATTTTCTGTTCTCTTGGCCTTTGTCTTCAATTAGTTGTTTGACAAGGTACTGTTTCCCCGCGTTGGTTGAAAAACACTTGTGTGTTTCATTCTTAGGAGGATGCTGGTGATGAGATTAAGGAAGCTTCCAAGCACGAAATGGGCAATGGACTGTAGTGACTGAATCATTGTAAACTTGGGTTAAACACATAGTATGCTTATGACAGATTCAATATGTGTTTGCCACTTTTTAAGTAGCTTTTGGTTTGTGTGACATTTTATTCTTGTTGATGTTGCTCTTATATTCTGGATCTTATTCCGTTTCTCTGAGGCATACGATAATTTATGGGCCTCCTTCCCCTTATTATCCTCCTCCTCAGAACTACTTTTATTGGTTGTTCTATTCTTTTTGCTTGCAATGGTGATTCCCCATTGGCTGGTGCAATGAATGAGAAACAGTAGCTATGCTACATGCTGCGGTAATCGACTAATCTTTCTCTCTCCTTACGTTAATGGTCTTTTTGGTTTGGTAGGATGAAAGGGAAATTCAAATGAAACAAAGTAAGAGGAATCTATGTTTTTTGCCCCATTAGTGGGCTTTCCTCGTGGGTTTGGATTGTTTTGGTCACGGTCAGGCAAGAGTTTCACCCTATCATTTGTGTTTGTCAGAGGGATGATTCTCTAATAGAGTAAATATTCATTGCAACGATGAAGTAAATTCCATTATTCTAAGGTGTTAACTTAATGTTTTGGTTAGAAGTTGCTAAAATAGTTCATGGCATCACTGTTGTAATGCATATTTTCTCCCTCTACTGGTCTAGAAGCTTATGAATATTTGAGACAAACTCGAGTTTAAACCAATTCAATTCTCACTTAAATTAAGTCTTCAATTTCAGCCATGAATCTTAATATAATCAATGTCTCAACAAAAATTTCTGAAATTCTCATAACAAAGCACAAAACACACCCTAACACTTCAAATTTTACAAAAAACTGAGAGAAAGATGGAGAACAAATTGTACGAGGTGTAAAGTAATTTAGAACTAAGTTTGCAATTGCTCATAATTTGGTATAAAGGTTGTTTGACAACGAAATTTTAGATTTTCATAAATAGATATCTTTTCAAGTTGAGTTGAATCTATTTAAACTGAATCATATATTGCTTGAATTTCGCTCATTCAAAGAATGAGTTTACAAATCCGACTCAATTTGATACGAACCAAACTCAATTTGATCTGATTGTTTAACAACCCCAAAAATAAGCACAAACCTAGAGAAGCCATTCTGTTCATTTGGATGAAAATAAATTCACAATAGAACACAATGAACCTGGGTGAAGTTTAAACGGATACTGTTTCTTGAAAGCGGCCATCGACACTGCTGTGGGTCAATACTTCCCTTGCCCGGGCACTCCTATGTTGTAGACGCTGGTGTAGTGTTTCTGACATCTGGTTGAAGAATTCAGCATCCCATCTATGTATTAACAAAGGGTCTTCTGCATAACATATGTAAATGGATGTAACTGCACTTTCCACCACTACCATTGCCAACCCGACCTATGAACAGGAAAGAAATTGGGTTATATCAACCTTATGAGCTGAGGTTAATTGAATGCATTCGAGTTCCAGGTTCATATCATGCAAAATTGGTTCATCAGACAAACAAACATAAATGAAAAATATGAAGGGAAAAATAAAAAAAGGTCTTGATTTCTGGCAAGATATTGACACCTGATCCTTGCTATCAGAGCAATTCATTAAATGTGACAAGAGCACTCTCCAAAAGACTTCATGCTATCACAGCTGTTAGGTAGGAGGGGTGAAGGAAAAGCTAAACCAGAGGGGGGAGCGTTGTTCTTTCATCAGGTTTAAGTGAGAAGGAAAGAGAGAAAAGAGGAGAGAAGGGTTTTCTTTGATGACATTTTAAATATTTTGATGCTCTGAAAGCGCAAAAAGAACAATCCTTCCCTCACCTATTATATGATCACTGCTATTTAACAACGCTAAGGTAAAGAAAATGTACCATGAAGACAAGGAAAACGAGTGTGAACTATAGCAGTGGCAATTATATAGAGGAAAATTAAAGGCTTATCAGTTGGTAAAGATGAATTACTGTTACGCTAGAAACAGGAAAAACTGGGACACGAAAAGAAAAATGGAATAAGTTTGCGGTCTCCAAAATAAAGTTTCATTCTCAATAGATGATGAGAATTGAGAATGGCTCCTCCAAGATAAATTCCCACATCAGTTTTTAAAAAGAATGACAGAGCCTAAAATGCTGTGTTTACCCTACTTATTATCCCACATAAATGAATTATAAAGTAAGCGATGACGACTATAAATATACACACTCACCGAGATCATTCCCATCAACATGGCAGTAGAGCCAACCATAATCACTCTGTCAGGATATTTAATCTTTGTCCAAACTCCTGCACAAGTTCCGCTAATAAGGCCACCCAAAATAGTGCCCATCAGTAGGACAGCACCTGAACAATCATAGGCAACGAGTGCTTCAACACCAGTTGATTGGAATAATTCCCAGGCATCTCTAGCCGAGTGATTAAAATTTTTGCCATGAACAGCAATCTGAAGGCACAAAAAGTTTTGAATCATTCTGGATGTTTATGCCAACATTGAAAGTAGTGACAAAATTTATAGTAAGAAAACTCAGGACGTGTATAAGAAAGAAAATCATCGGTATTTTTTGATGGAAAAAGTAAAGTTGTTTTAGTTAAAACTTTAGAAGTCTAAAAACATGAAAACCACCTCAACAAAACTGATAAAACCAACACAAAAACTTTGCATCTAAAATACGGACATTGGTTCCAATCTATCTCATTCCATTTGTATAACTAATATATAATAGAAATGAACACTACTTAATCACAAAAATCAACCAGCATAAGAGGACTGCTCATCAATATACCCACTGTCTGTCACACACCATGTCAGTGACATGCACATGATCATTGGACAAGAACAGTGGCAACACCCATGACTTCATCTCTGTAACCAATGGCCATGGTAAAACATGGAATTCGTTATGTAGCACATAAAGCTAACATATTTGAAAAGAATGAAGCCTTTGATTACTCATTATTCTTTTCAAATAAGAATCAGAAAAATCCTTTTCAGATCAAATTAAAGCAAACTAGCATTTTGCAAAAACATTTTAGTCTAGTACCTTTCTTAAAACCAATTCGGTGCTCATCTTCATATCTCTTTCAGAAATTTTCCCTTTAAGTGCTATTGAATACTGTGGACCAATCTTCTACACATCTTTTAAGTCAAATCTAAACCATAGAAACAAATATGTAATATGTTCATTTTAATAAGAAGCATTCATGCCACACTATTTTTTGAGAACCATCACTTTGTCGAAACCTAAAATTTCAAATGCTGTACAAAAAGTTATGGCTACTATTTTTTTTTAAAAAAATAATTCAGCGTACTTTATACAGTCTGTATGCTCAAAGCAAGCAATTGAAGCATCAAATTCCTGTGAAGAAAGAAAGCCTTGAAATGAAATCTTCATATTCGATGGAACATATACTGATAGGGAAAAAGAATCCATCTCTTAAAAGTTTGTCTAAAGAATATAGGCAATTCTCAAACATTCATATTAGCAGTGGTAATTCTCCAATCCCCCCCTCCCCCCAAAAAAAACCCTTTTCCCCATGTTCACTTGTGAAGTAATCAGCAGAATGCACGTTCCACGATAGCATTTGTAAGCACTATTGGGCACATATCAATTTTGTGTACAGCATTCTCAACTCAAAGCCATTATGAGCCAACAATGTTGTAAAGAGAACGCATAGCGTGTAAATAATTACTCACCCTTAGATTGTAAAAAATATATTACTAATTATCATCAAAAGTGAAAGGTCATCAGAATCTCAAAAAAATCTCAACAAAACTGGTACGGGTGAAAAAATTACCACAAAAAGGGTAAAGAACTACCTGGACATAGGCATATTTGTTAAAAAACCGAACAAGAGTCTCCACCAGATTAAAAAGGAAATCAACACAGCATAGCAAACACTCGTTGCTGCCAATCTTTGACCTGAATCCTCTTATCTGAAACATATTAGATTGAGTTGTGTTATCAATCAGACATTTATTACTACAAGACCTATGAACACCATCCAAAAGTAACTATAATATTTGTGGACCAGTCGAGAGCAAAGCGAACATACCTTCCACCGTACTGTCCGAATAGCAGCTGTAAAGAGTGATCCATAGCATATGCTGCCAAAAGAAGTTGTCACAGCATACCGGAGAGACTTCATCAGCGGGTTGGGAGGCATTGATCCTGCTTCTCGACCACCATGCATGAGTACAAGAAACACCATTCCAGACACTATAACATGAACAGTATTACAGAGCACTGCACCCGTCCAAAACAAACTTACACAGAACACCTGAAACCATTGTCTCAACAACATTATGACAGGGCCTGATTGCTTACTAATTCTGACAAAAAAGGACAGAACAGAAAAACGTTCCAGCTCACCGCCAGAAGCCACCAGCGTCCACCATCACCCAGGCTAGATGCTACAACACCAGCTGCTCCAAAGGACCATAAGGCTAGCCATAAAAGCATGACTACCATGGATGCACATGCTACTCTCATAACTTCAGGAAGGCTCCAAACCATTTTCATTGACTTTTGCACCACTAGCATGGTAAATGGAAGTCTGTAGAAAAATAACATATGCAGGGAAAACAACAGGCACTTGATTAACAAATAACAATAGATGTTCACTTTGCGGTAATTCATTAACATCACAAATACTGTGATTGTTCCAGAAAATACATAATACATGAGTAAACACTTGAAGATATTGTAAAAGATAGGGGAGACGAACCCATTTTTCAACTCTTTATAAATTTAAACCTAGAAGAGATATCTTTTTTTTTTTTTTTTTTTGGGGGGGGGGAGGAGATTGACCCTGTTGTTAAATTCTGTAGTAAATTTAAATCAAAGGGCGATATTGTAATGTAGATGCATTCTATGAATGTGTAAAATTGCAGAATAATGGTAGAGTCGCGTTAAACAATAACGCAAATGTTTCATTCCTTCGAAATTGATCTTTCTATTCTCTTTGCATGTATAAATCAGTAAATCTCTGACAGTACATCCTTTATGGCATGGTCACTTCAACCGTCACCAGAAACACCAATGTGAAATCGGAGAGTTCAATAATATTACCTGTCTATGATCGATATGACGTACAAGAACTGCAAAGCAGCACCAATGGCAAATGCAACACCCCAGAAGAACTGCTTGCCCCAAAAGCAAAGCACACTGATCACAGCAAGATAAGTGGTTAATATATGCACCGAAACCTTTAGTAACTGATTCGCTTTCGAACCAAGCAACAACAACCAAGTCCACCCGAGAAGCGTCCCTACTCCACCAGCAACGGCGTACAATGGCCAAAAGTCCTCTGTTAATCCCGCTTGATTCTCAAGAAATCTCATTGTGTACTTATCAATATTAAGCCTATCCTTTTTCCTAAACCTATTAATACCAAGTACCCCTAGAATAAGACCTAACCCAACCAAATGCAACACAAATACACCTAACCAGAACAGGTCCTGCCAATGGCGTGAAGCCTCTGGAGCCAACCCCAAAGCCAGCGAATTACAACCGTTTCCACTTCTACAACTCCGCCAAACATTCTACAGTTTAATACACATGCCAATTAGATACATGAAAATACTTTTGATTGCTAATGGGTGAAATTTAAGTGACTGAGTAGTTTTATTTTTCATTGTTTTGTATATCAGAAGACTAAAAGAGTGAGTCTAACTTTCTAGTTTCTACAATTCAACACTGAGGCAATTAGATTCAGAAAGTTGTAATAAAGCATGTGTCCATATATATGAATACGTGTATATGTTTATATATGTTAAATTCTGAATAAATAATCAAAAAGTATATGTAAGGTGGTGGATTCTTGTGTTATAATTAAAATAACATGATTAAATTTAAAGTCAATAGATGATGGATTAGCATAAGTGATTAGAGATCGTAATTATGTATGTATACTAAAGGTATGTTTGGTAGGGTAGATGAAAACAATGAAAAAATGAAAAGTGTAAATGATACCTAAATGGGCACCTGAATCGGACCAAACCATTTGTCAGGCTATTGTTCTCACACTTTCTATCCTTCAAGAGAGAGATGAATACTTAATTCCCTCCTATGTGTTTGGTAGAAAGGATGCAAAGTAAGAAAAATTGATTTTTTTTTGTGTTTGGTAGGATAAAAAAATATAACTGTATATTTTACCATTGTATCTATATATACAATCAATTTGTACATAATATGTAGGGTTAATAACATTTTTTATCCTTACACATGGTCACTTCTGTCTAAAAACTTAACAAATTGCTGATTAGGGACTAAAGTGATACGAATTGAATATTTTATGACCAAATTGACAAAATTGATACTTTAGGAACTAAAAGTGTTATTAACCCTAATATGTAATTATAAGATATATGTATATATTAAAGGATATAAAGGTAGATATAATTAACATTCGTCCATTTTCCTTCCCAAATTTAAAAGGATAGATTTTGATGAGTTGGAAGAAAGGTTAATCTATCAATTTTTTCATTTTTTTTATTTTCCTTCCTTATCAAACAAAGCATAAGGGTACCATCCACGAATTCAATTGAAAAGACAGTTTCATTCACAATGTTTTCTGACATGCATATGTATGAAATATAGATACATACATGTAAATGTGTGTGTGTACATATTATGATTTAAGCATGAGACTATTGAATGTTTTTGTTGATAATTATGTTGGGATTTCACACGATTTAAATCCACTAACAAACACACACAATCGAAAAACAAATCAAGAATATAAAGCAATAAGAAACAAGAAAGAACAAGACACAGATTTTACGTGGTTCGGCAATTGGCCTACGTCCACGAAGCTGCAGGGATTTCACTATTGAGAGAGTTGAATACAGAGAGCGGCTGTGCAATCCATGATTAACCCTAATCACCAAAACAACAGGGTTTATATGTCCTACGCACTGGGCTGTATAACGGGCCCAAAAAAAAAAAATTTCCTCGGGGGCGTTGCCCCCGAACCCCCACAAGGCTTGTCCATGAGCGCTACGGCTTGGGCCTATCGGCCCAAGCCTTCGCTCCATGGACTAAGCCTTAGAAAATTTTCCATTAAAAACCACACAACATTATTTCGGGTCGGGTCATCATCCGGATCACATATACAAACAAGACTCCATAAAAAAATAAACCAACAAATTAAATGAATTGAAGAGAACGAAGAAAGCAATTGTTTATGTTTACCAATACATAAGTGCTAATATTCTACACAAATCAACACAAACGCTGTTAAAATTAGAACACTTTCAATATATCCATCTTTTTGTATAAAATTAGCATAGATAATGTATATAACACATAAATAAGCATACAGTGATGATTAAGTCGAAGTGATCAGAAGAGATAGATTTCAGATTACCGGTTGAGCGGTGGCAACAGAGACAGAGTCATCGGAGGAAGAGACGCTACGAGAATCGCTCATGGTGTGATTGTGATTGATCGGATGGTTAGGATTGGTTTGGAAAGAAAATTGGCATCAGTTGCATGAGAGAGAGAGAGAGAAGTTCCAGGGTCAAGAGGTTTGTTAGGGTTTAGAGTGGGACATGAACAGAAAGAGGTCGGGGAGCTTTGGTAATGAAGTGAAAAGGAGTGGAAAAACTGAAACTGAAACTCAACGGCTATTTGTTGGAAGGACGATATAGAAAAAATATTCGTTGCAACTATCACTAATCAATTAACTAATAATATATAAAAAATAAGGAAAAATAGATTTCATATATATATATATTATTAACCATAAAAGCCTAAAACACAAAGAAAAAAAGATAAAAAATAAAAAAGAAGAAGATTAATTCCAACCCTTTAAAAATATGAGGCTAAACACAATTTTTTTAACTGGTCATGTGAGTATTTATAACTCGAGAGCATTACATGGTAAACGCATTATTTATGACATTAAAAGTATTTTATTGTACAATCAAGCTCTCGGTTATCTATTAATCATCCATCTCGTCACTCAATTAATTTTCACCATCACTTATTTGACTCTCGTCGAGATATGTTATGTACGTATTTTTAATATATTTTTATTTGATATAAGAGGTGGTTGTTAGAAAGTTATTAGCAGTGTGTTGGTGACTAGAGTATTTTATATATAGTGAGTGTATTAGTGATAGAGAAGCCATAAATTATATTAGTTATTAATGTAATTTTTATTATTTTACATTTAAAAGTCCTTCAATCAATAAAATGGGTATGTTTAATATTGAATTTTTTATGAAAATTTTAGAGATTAGGTTTTTCTCGAATTGAACCAATAAAACATTTTAACTTTCTTAAAGCAAGTTTTCTACCGCTACTCTATTTTTTGTTTTGTTTATATTTTTTTAAGAAAATATGCACGTACCACGGTGCCGTGCAGTTATGGGGAGCTCAACTATAGTTATAGATTTTGAATGCCAAACTAAAAGTTGGGAAGTTCTATACCAAAATATTATTCAGTAAAAAGAAAAATATTTATCTATTATATATATATAAAATAAATATATTCAGAAAAAAAACAGTCCAATTGAATATAAACCCTCTTATCTCTATATATAAAATAAATATTTTTTTGATGAGAAGAATTGAGAAACCTTTCCTCCCAAAATATTTAATTTTTATATTTTTAAAATATTTAATTATCTCATTCCAATAAAATCATTTCATTCGATTTATTTAATTACAACCTCTATCATTTGTAATAAGTCCCATTATTTTTTAAAACTATTTCAAATTTAAGTTTTTAATTATCTTTTTTCACATTTAATAAAAATTATTTGAACTTAATAGTAGATAATTTTTTAGTAATATAAAAATTTAAAAAGATAAAACAGAGAAATTATAGGAGAAATAAACAGCTAGGAAGTAAACAACGAGAAAGTAATGCTTCACAAGTCACAAGGGTCACATTAGCATCCACAGCTTCCCACCGTTCTTCAATCAATACACACTCACAGCTTCAATTCACTCACCAAAATAAATAAATGAAAAACCACTAAATTGCAGTAATAATACACACCCACAAGGTGGCCCCACCTCATCACTTTACACTTATTGATGGCGGTCCCACCAACCCACCCAGAAAAGCGTAAAATCTTCTCTTCGACAATGGTAATAACGGAAAGAAAATTATACTATTTTTCCTAGCACTTATTGGGTGAGAAACCAATAAGAGAACTTGCAAGGTCGAAACTAACACGTGTTCCCTGTTGCTGCACATTCCCAATAATCGACAAAGAAGAAGACGTCGGAGCGAACCCGAAGCAAAACGTCCCCACCGAATCAACCGGTATCAGGTAATTCTTCGCCGGTAACGACAATTCCTTCCCGTCCGAAAAGTGAAACGACACCGTTGGAACCTCAACACTCTTCCTCGACGACAGATTATAACACGTGTCGAACAATGCCATACCGTTAGTTGACGGCAATCCCTTCGTTCCTTTAACGAAAGCGTCACGGAGCGAGTTGTAAACGTTTGTCTGTAACCGAGTCACCGCCGTTCCTGAGTCAATAATAACTCCGCCGTCACCGTTATCGTTCAGTTGAAAACTTGACGGAGGAAGTGACAGTGATTCACCGCCCACACTGAGTCCCGTTAAGTCGAGATAGTAAAATGTGTCAAGCTTCTGGTTACGGAGTAACGGAGCGGTGACGGCGTTACGAGGGGTTTCTGAGTCGAAGTCGAGAGTTGAGGCTGAGTCGGAGTCACGGTCTACGAGGCAGTAAGAGAATGACGTGGCGTTGATTTGGGAAGGAAACGAAAGTGGACCGCCGCCCAGTCCGATTAAGCCGGCGGCTCCGACGAATAAGCCTTCGTTATTGTGTCCACAGCCTATGGCTACGTTGTTAACAGAAGCCGAGCCGGAAAAAGTTATAGTCTCCGTTGCAAAATCGCCGACAGTGTACGATCCATCGCCGTAGGAGACTTCGTAGAGGCACGTGTCGTTTCTGCATTCCGACACGTCAAGCGATTTGCATTGATGAGTATCGCAAGTGAGAAGCGAATACGAAGACGACGAAGCCGGCTCAAAGATTGGATCGGCTTGCTGGTAACAATCGGCGCAGGGTGCGCATTGCACCCAGTTGACATCACTACCGGTGTCGAGAACCATGTAAACTTGACTCGGTGGGCGACCGATTCCGATTCGGGAGAAGTACTCACCGCTTCCTTGACTCGTTCCCGAAATCACCGGTCCTTCCAACTCCTCAGCTTCGAACTCAGTCTCCACTGGTTCCAGATCTGACTTAACAATGCCATGAATAGCCAGATCTAACCGAGTCTGAAGCGACTTCACTCGGGCAGAGTCACGCTCGAGTCGAGCTAAAGTCAGTGACTGGTAGTCTCCGTGTGAAGCTTTGTGAAGTGAGGATCGAGAATGTAGCTGGAGATTGAGTGAAGATGAAGACGTGAAGCTCTGTTCTTGTGGGTTCAGTGTTTGTTCTATGGATTGGGGTTCAAATGAGAGTAGATCAATTGTTTTCTGGATCGAAGCTGAGACATCAAGGACTGTAGTTTTTGGGTTCTGTTCTAAGCTTCGAGAGTGTATAGAAATGAAAGAAACTGTGAAGAAAATGCAGAAGAGCAGCACTATTTTCACCATTGTAGAGACAAACAGAGTATAAAAGTAAAGAGTGTGAGAGTTATTTGGGTATGGTTACATATATATATAGGAGAGTAAGAGAGAAGGGTGCTTTGAATGATGCGTTAAAAACCTAGTTTTTGAGGGTGTTAGATTTTGGGAAGGATTGTGGATGTGGGTAATCAGGGTATTGGCATGTTTGTGAATTGTTTGATGTTATCATGAAAAGATGGGCGAGGGTTATGGGTGTAAGAAAGGGTTTTTAATCATGGGATTCATCCGATTAAGAATGATTGTTGTACTCTGAAGCTTTTTTGTTATTGGAATGTAAAGATTTTTGACCATGAATTATGGACCGATGTCTTTGGTTACTTGAGCATGTTAAGGCGGATGGTGCGTTAAAATGGGACCCATGTATTGTGTGGGAGCCACTTGGGTCAAAAGATTGTACTTGGAATGGCTAGATATGTGGCACAATTTTTTTTATATTTTTTCCCAACATGCAATTAGCAAAGAAAAACCTCAATCCGACCCGTCCCCCGGACCCAACCCGACTCTCTGTGTGTATATTTTGGTAAATAATATATGCATGTGTGTATTTTTGTATTTTATTAAATATGTTTTTGTGTGATAATATATGTGTGTATTTTTTATATATTAGTGTGTGTATATTAATGTGTGTTTTATTTGATGTATTAGTATGTATTTATATTAAGAATTTTAATTATTTTATAAGTAAATAAATTTAACTCAACCTGTTATAATCTAACTCATTATAACTCGTAAATTAATTAGATTTGTTTTACACCAACCTATTTTAAACTAGTCCATAACCAACTCAATCTACCTATTTACCACCTCTAGTTGTTAATTATCTCATCTAAATTTCTTCTAGTAACAATTATTATTAACTTGACTTATTTAATTAACTAGTTGTTGCACACGTACGTTGTACGTGGACAATTTTAGTCTATAATCTTGAATTTTAAGTACAAAAAAGACAACACAAAATGAATTATTTGGGTAATACTCTCCAATGTTGATTTTTTGTACAATACATAAGACCGAACTTAGTAGTCATGGTGGGGCAACAAAACTCAAAAGTTTGAGAGGAAGACAAGATAAAAGAAAAGACTTGTCAAGTTGATGAAATAACTTGGACTATACATAAAACTCACACTCAACAACTATGAACCACTGTAATAAAGATCCAATGACCCAATCGTGATACAAAGAAGAGGAGCAACCCAAAAAGTTTACATGGAGCACACTTGAGCCTTCTTTATTTGTGTTTATTACTGATGTAAGTTTTATTTAGCCCATATCGAAATTATTAAACTCACAGAATAAATTTATATTTTCACTAATAGTTATTTCTTACCAAGAACTATAAATTGAAAATTAGGTGCCTAGCTTCTTATACATGGAGTTAGGAAAAGGAAATTCGAAAAAAAGAGAACAATGGTGTCCATCCTGAAATAATGGTTTTTCCTCTTCAATCGAATAATGATTTTTCCTCTTCAATTGAATACAAGGCACATAAGAACATTAAATAAAAGTATTTCTAATAGTTGTACTGGAATTCGACCACTTTAATGCATACGCTTCACATAATCCTATTGATAAAATATACTAAAACTACCCAACAAGACAAGACAAGCGTATTAAAACTTCTAACAAAGCACATACTGCAATAAAACACATTCATTAACAAAACAAAGAAATATCAATACACAAACATATATAACATAAAACATCAATTATTAGAATCTGGAAATAAGAATATCTTGCTATGATGCTAAACTATCTAGCTAACGATTTAGTAGTTGAATGAAGAAATTGAAACTATCGTTTAGAGGAC